TCCCGAAGGACAGCTTCTGCCCACTGCAGGCAGGCTGGCTGGCTGGCGCGGCGCAGCTGCGGTAGGAGGGTCCCTGCCGACCCTGCCGACCCGCCCGCTTCTGCACTCGCCGTCCCCAATCCAGGGCTCGAGTCCCACCCGGCGGCCGAGGCGTCCGGCCCAGGCGCTGTGCCCTGCCCGCCCAGGGGACCCGCGAGGAGGAGCGCTCTGGCCCGCTCGGCGCCCTGCGGACCCGGCCGTCCGCACTCTGCAGGCCGGCAAGTGGCCGTGCGCGACATAAACTCCGCTCCAGGGGCCACGCGTGCAGGGAAAGTCCTCCTCGCGGACTGCAACCATCACACACACACATGCACGGCGCGCGCGCACATGCACACACACACAAACACACATGCACGCACACGTCGCAGACGGAGCCTCCACCCCACCCCCCACGGCCCCGACAGCAGGGGGTGACCCTCCCCTCCCGCAAGGCTCGCAGCGCCTGACACAGCCCGGGCCGCCCCTGACAGTAGCACTGCGGTCCTGCCTACTTGGGAGGCTGAGGCGGGATGCACCCCACCCCTCACCCCCACCCGGGAAAGTGGCAGGCCTGGCTTCCCCATGAAAGGATAAAGGGCCAGGGTGCCGCTGGGCAGCAGCGGGCACACCTCAAGGCGCTGGCCCCTGAGGCCACCCAGCCCCGGGGTCGGGCCACCCACTGAGCAGCCCGTCCGCCCCTCGGCTCTGTCTTCCCCAGCTGGGCACCCCAGGCCCACCCGGCCGCCCTCCTCTGCCGACCTCCAATCCCGCATGCGAGCTCACCCTTCCCTGACTGGTTTTCAGCAGGGTCTAAGTCACTAACTTGCCCAGGATGGGCTCCAACAAACATCTTTCTGCCTCAGTCTCCAAGTGCCCTTTGCCACAGGTGCACAGCCACGCCAGCGCCACGTAAGTACCCCATGCAGCACTGGGGAGGGGACAGGATGCGCTGCGCTGAGCCCCAGAGAAGCTGGCTCTGCCGCTTGGCATCGGAGCTGACATTAAGCCAATCTGATGCGCTCAGTGTCAAAGCCCACGCTGGGAACTCGTGCAGCACAAGAGGCCCTGCTGGCCCCGTGCTCGGCAGGGGCTGTGTGCTCTGATGATGCTTGTTTCTGGGGGCTGGGGAGTCCCTCCGCCAGCAGCGAACCTGCACTCTAGAGTGCACCAGGAACTCAACGCCCCATGCACCCCAAGACAGCCCCTGTAGGACACAAGCAGGCGGACCCAACCCGCTTCTGGAAGGAGGCGGCAGGGCCCTGTGCAAGAGGATGAGGCTAACCCCCGACCCAGAGCAGGTGGGGACCTGGCTGCACTGAGTGGAGTATTACGCAGCCCGACAGAGGAACTGAGTCATGCTGCTATGAGGGTGCCGTCCTGAGAAACCGAAGGAGACAGCCTCCCAGTCCCTCCCGAGTCGGATTCCCTCTCCTCTGTGCAGCCAGAGAGACACAGGGTCAGGACAGCGGGCAGGGTAGGACGGATGTCAGGATGGGCGAGGCTCCTGGGCCCAGGTGCCCTGGCCACTTCCTGTTAGGTGTGAATCCAGCCCTCGGGAGGATGGGGACACACCCTCCCCATCCCGCACCCTCAGGGACCCCACGAGACCCTGCTCTGAGTCGAAGCCATCCTGGTTCAGGCGGCCAGCGATCCCAAGACTCACTGCCTCACATGAAAGGGGCCCGGAGCGGCCTCAGGGAAACCCATCTACCTCCTATGCCTCCTTGGTGCCCCAGCTGCGGCTCCTGTGCTGGCTGCTGCTCCAGCGCCCCCAGACCTGTCCCTAAGGCCAGAGGCCCACGGCCAACCCCGCGGCAGGGTCCAGCTCGAGAGAGACGGCACCTGCTCCCTGCGATGGCCACCACAGACAGTGCTGCCCCTGCGGCCCTACCCGTCCTGCTGCAGCTCGGAGGCCGGTGGCGCGGTGCGAAGAGCTCGGGGAGCCTGGCTCAGGCCCTCTGGGGTCCTTGGCTAGGGCTGACGGCCACAAGATTCGCTCCCCAGGGAGGCGGCCAGGAGGGACCCTGGGGAGCAGCCTCGCCTGGCCTCCCAGCCATGCCAGCCACGTCTCCACCCGGGCACACCCTGTGAGGCTTTCCCCTCACTCCACACAGACCCAGGGCCTCCCAAGCGCTGCCCTTTTTTGTTTTTTCAACACACAGCTGCCGCTGGTGGTGCACACCTCTTAACCCAGCCCCGAGAGGCTGAGGCAGGGGAGTGGCAAGCCTAAGCTTGGGCAACCTAGCAAGACCCTTGACTCAAAGCAAAAAATAAAGAGGGGCTAGCGATGGAGCTTACGGCACAGTCCTGGGTTCCACTCTCAGTACCACAAAGCATTAGCATTAGCTCCCAACGCCGGCACGTCACCCCCGGAAGAATTAGGGGCCCAACCTCTCGGCTCAGCACAACTGTGGAGGAACGCGCGACGGCCAGCGCAGCGCCCGCGGGGTCCCGCAACCGCCCGGGACAACAGCCTGGCGCGGGGCGCGTGCCTGTCCCCCCCAGCACCGGGAGGCCGAGGCAGGCGGGTCTCCGCGGCTCTGAAGGCAGCGCGGGCTCCCGAGCGCGCCCGAGACCAGCCTGCAGCCCACAGCGAGACTCCGCCTCAAATCGAGCAGCTCTCCAAGGTGCTTTTCCCGAAACCCGGGAGAAGGGCGGCTAATGCGATCCCCGAAGCAGACGCCGACTTGGGGGAGGGGAGGGAAGGGGGGAGGGGAAAGGGGGAGGGGGAGGGCCCCCCACAACGGGACTGACACACAACGGGACTTACGACTCGGGGTCCGGCGGACCGGCGGGAGGCGGGCGGCGCGAGCGGCAGTGCAGGGGTCCCGGGCGGAGCGGGGGTCC